CCCGGGCCTCGCGGTGGCCTGCCAGGAGCCCGTGGGTGCCGAGGGCAGTGTGAAGGACAGCGGAGTAGACAGCCAGGGGGCCAGCTGCTCGCTCGTGTCCACCCCGGAGGAGGTGAGCAACCTGTGGGATAGCGGAGGACGCAGAGGAACCACTGTCACCCTCCACCCAGGGTTTGCTTGGTCATTTTGCAAGCTTGAGATGCCATTTCTATTGCAGGTGGCACCACAGGCTTCTGATTTTCTCAGCATAATCTCCACGATCACCAAACAGTATTTCTTGTTAGTGTCCTGGCCTTTCTATAGGATTGCAGAGGGGAAGGTTAAATCCTGTGGGAATCTTTTGGCTGCCAATGACTTGATGATTAAACTATGAAAAGCCGGCAGGTGGCCTGTAATCCCAGTGGCTTGGAGGCTGAGGCAGGAGGATCCCAAGTTCAAAGCCAGCCTCAGAAATTTAGTAAGGCGCTGAGCAACTTAGGGAGCTCCTGTCTCAAAAATAAAATAAAATAAAAAGGGCTCAGTGGTAAAGTGCCCCTGAGTTTAATCCCCAGTGCAAAAAACCAACCAACCAACCACCACCAACCACAAAAACATGAAGAAATGCACAACACATGTCAGGGAGGTCACTGTTAATTGACCCTCTCAGTGGTGTCCCCTTGGACTCAGGTTCCTCTTTTCTCTCGGGTTTCTCATCCTTCCCTCCCCTCCCCACTTCTCTCACCCTCAGTGGTCATTCTTCCTCCTGTACACCAGGTAGAGAAAGAGTCCCTGTGAAGGCTCTTAGTTAAGGAGGAACTTTTTCCAGAAGCTTCTACCATACCTCTCCTCCCCTCTCATTGGCCCAAATTGTCCAGCTTACTAAGCCGATGGGAAAGGATGACACAAGCACCCATCAGGCACAGACCCAGAGAGGTGACCAGTTCCCAGAAAACATTGCAACCACTGGGTGAAGAGGGGGCAACCACAGCTTCCACTCTAAATGCCTTTCTCAGCTTTCCAGTAGTTAGGATGCCAGAGTCCACAGATCGAGCACCAGGTGGTGTTAGCCATCATCCTGTGCTGAGATAGAAGCAGGCCAACAGCAGCTCCTCCAGAGTTAGGAGCTCTTCAAAAGCCTGCTGCTCCCACATGGGCCCAGGCTGCCCTCACTCTGTTAGCCCAGGGACAGGCAGTTCCTTGCTCCCTGCACCTGTCCAGTGCTTAGTAGGACATTTAATATCCATGGCTATGACCCCCTTCCCCCTTGCCTGGACTATCCAAATGCCCCTCGGTGGGTGGTCCCTTTGAGGAGACAGCCATACTAGTCTCCCGTCTGTCCCTCTGTGGAGTCTTAGAACCAGAGAACTTCCATGTGCTTCTGACCCCACAGTTACAGCCCTGGAATACCCCAATCCTTCTGGAAACTTCCACAGTCATGTCCAAGTCTAGAGAACAACAGAGCTGTCACCTAGTCCTATCCTCTATTTGGCAGTCCTAGTTAGAAGTGTGATTTGTCCAAACACCCAGCTCCTACTTCAGGGATTGTATCCCTCTCATTTTCTCAAATCTCTCTGTCTGTCCTATGTGTGGATAGTCAGCCTTTCATTATCTCCCTGAATCACCCATGGAGCACAGTAAGCAGGCAGGTTCCTGGCTTCCACCCCAGATCCACTGAATCAGAATTCCTGAGGGTAGGGTTCTGGGATCCACATTTTAAAGAGCACTCCAGGTGATTGATGCACCAGGCATTATTGGCAAGACCTCCCAGAGCACATGTGCAAGTGTCCGTGGCTACTGCCTTAGACCACCCCCAATCATGAATACACCAGCTTCCCATCTGTTTTTCCCCTAATGTAGGGTCCACCATGAGATGATGCGGGTCCTCTATAATGGTTTAAGGAGAACCAAGGAAACCAGCAGCCCAGGATTTCATACCCAAGGCACACAGGAGAGGGGAGCCAGGGTAAATGTCTTTGTAACCCTAAGGTGCCTAGCCATTGAGTCTTGCATACACACACACACACACACACACACACAGTATATATCAAAATCCTGAGTAACTGAACATGTGTGTGTGTGTGTGTGTGTGTGTGTGTGTGTGGTGTATACAAGCACCTGTGCATTTGCCAACATGAACATTTCCTCAAGGAAGAACAGCTCCAAAGAGAAACCAGACTCTAATGTCCAAATCATGGGAATGATTTGCCTGGCCTTTCTCAGAGAAGGCTGGTGCTTTTCTGGTGCTGAGGGAAACAGGCAGCAGATTCCCCCAGCCATGCCCAAGAATAGGAGCTTCCTGCCCAGGGTTTGGTCAAGCCAGGCAGGTGAGAAGGTGAGTGGAACAGAGCACATTCATGCTCAAGACAGGGCCAACCACAGCTGCTCCTTCTGTGGCTTCTACATCAGCTCTGTGCTCTACTAGTTCAGCTTTACTGTAGCTCCTGGTCCTTCTGGAAAGGTTTAACAATTGGGTTTCTGCCAGCCCCTATTCTCAGGGTTCTCTGCGTCCAGGAGGCCCCAGTCCATTCTGCTTCAGGTCTGGGATGTGTGGTCCCTAAGTGTGGTGGGAACTCCAAAAGGAGCCTGGTCTGAGTCCTTTCCAGGTTGGATCATGAGGGGGCTTTGCATACATGGAGACAACGTGTGGCCTGCAACTCTGGTTATGGAGGGGAATTTAGGTCTTGGGTCCCTGACTCAGGCCTGTTGTGAGGAGAGAGCACAGGCCTTTCTATGGCCTCTTCCAGAGCTTCTTTGAAGTAACAAAAGAAATCTAAGTAGGACACCAGAAAACATTCAGAAAACTGGAAGGGACCACCCACATAGCCAGAATTCCAAGGGATTCAGTTACAGGGAAGTGAACTGAGTGAAGACATGAAGAGCTGGGCAAGAGCAGTGTCCTGGGCAGGAGTGAGGAGGGACCCTGGCAGGACCTGTAGGTACCAGGGGCCAGAGGACACCCCCTCCTCCCCTCAGGGTGATCACCAGAGTAAATAAGGTGCCAAAGAAAATAAAGCATGTCCAGCTAAACTTTTAAAATACTTTTTTCAAAAAATATCCTGTGTAATTTGGGGGGAAATTCTTATGACAAAAAAATTCTTCTTTATCTGAAATTCAAATTTAACTAGGCGTCTTGCATTTCTATTTGCTACATCCATCAATCTTAAGTTTAAATCATGTTTTTACAGAATATTTACAGATTAAAGGACCAAAAATTGTCTAAATAACCAAATTCTAAATTTGGAAGCATATTGTCATTATCCTTATATTGCTACTAGCAGTCCTTGTCATTATCGTTATATAATATGCCTGGGGAAATAACTGAAGAGAAGTGGATTGATATAGCAACAGCAGGTATCTCTGATGGATTCTTAATGATTCTTATATTCCTTATCTGTTTCTATTTTCTAGAATTTCAACAACACTGTTTTGTTTATAAAGCAGATGATATTCAATACAGCCAACATACTGAGCCATTATTTTGTGTCCGGTATATGACCTGAATTCTTGCAACAACCCTGAGTAGGTCACATTGCTAGCTCAGTCTATTTTGCGCTGCTGTAGCAGAATCCCTGAGACTGGGTAATGTATAATGACCAGAAATTTGTTGGCTTATAGTTCTGGAGGCCAGCAATCTAGTATCAGTGTGCCGACATCTAGCAAGGACCTCCCTGCTGCACCGCACATACTGGAGAAGGGAGGTGGGGAGAGACAGAGAGGTTCAGATGAGACTTTCCAGCCTGTAAACAGGATCGGCTCTGCTGTCACCTCCCATGCCTGAGCCACTCTTTTCTTTAGAAAGATGAGACAGTCCCAGTACTTCCTCTCTCTCAGCCATCTCCAGGGCTGGCAGTTTGTCCCCGGCAGTGAAGAGCTTAATGTTCAGCTCTGGGGAAGATTATGAAGCAGAGACCCTGAGTTTGGACCCCAGCTTTGACACTTGTGCATTTTGCGGATGAGTGTACAAAGAAAGCCTTTCTACTCTCTGCCCAGCAGCCTCGCCAGTGTCAAGCTGTGAAGTTATTTCTGACTTAAGGGGTTCTGTGCTTTCTTTCAGCTCCTTTTTGAAGACGCCTTTGATGTGGCAAGCTTCCTGGACAAAAGTGAAGCTCCCAGTACCTCCAGCCCTAGGTGAGAAGATGGTGTGAGACAGCATGAGCAAGTGTGAGTCGGTGTGCAACTATGTGAGTGAGTATGAGATTGTGGAGCATGTGGGTGTGTGTGTGTTACATGAATGAGTGTGCACGCATGTGTGTATGTCTACGCATGTGCACCCCTGCTGGGCATTTCCTGCCTTTCCCCTGCAGCTCCCAGATGGGTGCAAGTTCTCAGGGACCCACTTTTTCCCTGTGACTGAAATGGACTGATCCTAGGATTGTACTGTCGCTTTGGGGATGACATTGTCTGGGGCATCCTCAGAGGAGAGAATCTTCTGTCCTGGCCCAGGGCTAGAACACACCAGGTTATCAGCCCCAGGTTATGTAAATGCACCTGTTTCCTTTGGTGGGTTTCCCAGTATGTCTTAGTCCTGCTTCAGGCTGATCTAGCCTTGCTTACAAGATCATTATTATACAAAATACCAAAACCCAGCTGGTTTATAAACAACAGCATTTATTGCTCACAGTTCTAGGGAGCCGGAATTCCAAAGTCAAGATGCTAGCAGATTCAGTCTAGTGAAGGCCATTTCTCATAGGAAGCATCTTCTCAATGTCACCGTATCTTGCTGGGCAAGGTGGTGCATGCTGGTAATCTCAGTGACTTTGGAGGCTGAGGCACTGAGGATTGCAAGATTAAGGCCAGCCTCAGAAAATCAGGGAGGCCTTAAGCAAATTAGTAAAATAAAAAATAAAAAGGGCTGGGATGGGGGTATGTAGCTCAGTGTTATCAGTGGTAAAGCTCCCCTGGGCTCAATGCCCAGTATGTCTCCCAGGCCTCTTCTATAAAGGTCCTAATCACCTGCCAAGGGTCCCACTTCCTAATACCATTGCCTTGGGGGTTAGGTTTCAGCATATGAATTGGGTGTGAGACACAGACCTTCAGTCCATAGCACCCAGGGTCAGGCAGCCCATGGGCAGGAGAGTGGGCAGGGGGTCTGGGGCACAGAGGACCTGGGCCAACATGGAGGCAGGCCTGTGCCCTGACTTTAAGGGCTTCTCTGAGCTGCCTTTCACAGTGCTGATGAGAACAGCTATGGAAGAAGCAGAGAAGGGTGTGGCTCACCCAAGGAGCAAGAGGACATAAAACGGGGTCTGGGAAGATTTTAAACAGGGAGGACTTGGACTCAGTCTGTAGCAAGGGCATTTTCTCAGAGGAAGTCAGTCTGGCACTGAAATTCCCTGGCTGCTGCGTGCAAGTCTGGGCCTATGGCCTGCAGGGACAGAGCTAGTGTCGAGGCTCAAAAGAAACCTGGACCTTGAGTTTTTCTGCCTTGGGAATGAGGGTGCCATCTACATCTAAGGATCCGAATCAGTGTCTTCATTGTCCTCTCAGTGGAAACCTGGCCTCCTGCAGGCCTTTGGTCAGGCACGAGAGCTGTGCAAGGGTCCAGGACAGCTTCAAGTAGAACCCCAGTCGAGATCTGAGGGATAGTTCCACCACCCCACCTGCCCCTGCAGGTCCATTCAGATCTCAGGAGACAGGGATTGACGGAGGAGACTCTTCCCTCTCCAAAGCCACTTCATGTGGTGACACGAGCTCTCCTCAGCTGTGTGCCGAGTGTCATTCTGCTGCAGCTGGCTGGAAGCTGACATTCCTATTTCCGCACTGGGCTCAGGCTGCAAAGACAACTTGGTCGAGAAGCTGCCAAAGCACACTTGCCAAGCAGTACTTGACATTCTAATGGAACAAAAACCAACCCATTAAAAACGCTTTCCCTGCTTTCTCTAGAAAAGGTAGGGATTACTGCCAGTGGGGTTCCTAGCCTGGCTGTGGGACCTCATCCCAGGAGGAAGAGTGAAGGGCAAATATCGTCTGGCTTACAGGACGCATAGCCACTGTACCTCAAGGCTCCAGTTGCACCGGGCTGCTCCCCTTGGAAGAAAGGAGAGCTGGAAGACCAACCTCCTTTCTGCAGGGCCTGAGCTCCAGGCTAGACACACTGAGAGGGGGTCTTTCCTGGGACTGAACTCAAAATGTGCCTTAGCAGCCACAGGTAGGACCCAAACCCTGGGCTTTGCTCCAGCAGGTTGACTCAGAGGTAAAAGAAACCTTGCTCCCTCATTCTAAAGGCCACAGCTCAAAACATTACATTAGGGCGCAAGATCCAGTCCTATCACAGTCTTGTTTTTCCGGAGGATTTCAGACATGAAACTTGACAAAATTAATACAAACCTGTCAAGAAAAGCTGTGGGCTGTCCAAGAATTCGACTGGGTGTATGAAAGTGTTGCATTCACACCATAATCCAAATGCTTGGCAGGGGGAAGGGTAGTCAATCAGAGGTAAAAAATCAGGATTCTAAACATTTGCTGTTTCTTCTTTCTTTCTCTTGACAGTTCATTGTTTGCCATCTGCAACCCAGAAAACCCAGAGGGGAAGTTTCAGCTCTATATGCAGATCATTGACTTTTTTAAAGGCCTTTGCTGCATTAACACTCAGTTAAAACAGGTAGGACAGCTAGATACTTACCCACCCTTGTTAGGATGGCAA